CGGTGTGGAATAAAGGTAAATTATGTGAAAACATTTTTTTAAACGAAGCATTAACACATGTTAGTCTGCACCCCATAAACACAATCAAGCCTAGAAAAAAACCAGTCAACCACCCCTTTAAGTTTATGCAGCACTACACAAATACAGACACCTAAAAAATGCTGAAAATGTGCTTTACTACACCATGCATCTGAATAAAAGTCCAGTTATAACATCTTTCTCTATCATCGGATTATCATCAGCTGATTTACTGCAGTTATGATAACAACAAAATCATAAAAGTTAAATGTACTCTCTGCAGTGTACATATGGATCCATTCTGCAGAGAGTAAAAGTAAAGCTGAGGCAATGTTGTAGTTAATTAATCAAGTAATTTCACTCTACAGATGATGATTGACAATTAGTGATGGCATCTGCTGTTAACAACTGAGGAGACAACAAGAAAAGCTGGCCTTTTGAATTTTAGGATGGGGGTCACATGAGGATGATCATATTTGGGAGTCTGTGTCAAATAATTGATTGAAAACCCTTGTTCTAAAGAGCATTTGGTTGGAAAGAAAATCTGATGAAAAGCTAAAAGGCTGATTGATGTCATCAAAATTGTTTATCCATATTGGCGGTAGAGCTAGACTGTAAATTTTAAATGCAATCTTCTAAATTTGAAATTTGTCGTTTTGTATTTTAGAGCACACTAACCTTAAATGGTTAGTTCACTCAAAAATGACAATTCTGTCATCATTTACTCACCCTCATGTAATTCCAAACCAATAAGACTTTCGTTCATTTTCGAAACACAAATGAGGTTATATTTTAGGGATGCTCCGATCAGGATTTTTGCAGCCGATACTGAGTACCGATTTCTTGTCGTGGTGATCGGTCGATACCGATGCCGATTCTGATGCTTCAAGCTTTATATAGACGGTTTCATCGGGCGCACGCGCCTGGCCCGAAGTTAACTTCCGGTCAGTGTTTGTTTATCAGTCTGGCTATGGCACCGGCTACAAACGCAGTGGCATTTATGATCACTGCTGGATCAAGCCGCTGCATTGTTTTTTTCCTGAGGTAATCCAAAGCTTCTTGAGGTGAATTCTGTCTTATTCCTCTCA